CCCCAAAACCCCAAAACCCCAAAACCCCAAAACCCCAACTTCAACAGAAACTTTGATAATAATAAATTAACTGAAACAAAATGGGAGGATGCCTATCTAGTTCGTCAAAAAAGGAAAGGTCTAAGCAACCCATCAGACCGATTGGTGACTCTAAGAGTAAAATAAAATTATATAGAGAAGAGAAATAAGAGTTGAAAAATCTAGGAAATAAGAAGTCTTTGTGCCACTTCTTAGCCTTAATTTTTATAAAATGATTTAAAATGAGAATTAGAAAAGAATATAGCTACAATCGTTCAAATTTTACAAAACCAACATTACTAATAAATTAAATCTCAAAATCTCCTTTCCCTACTCAAATTCCTCTATCCTCCTCACACAAAATAGGCAAATAAAGCCCAAAAGAAATCTCGAAAGAAGGCTTCAAAAGTAAGTATCCGAAAAATTCAAAAACCCCTCTATCTTCCACACCCCAATCTTCCCTCCCTCCTCACCCCTTCCACTCCCCCAATCACCAACTCCCTTACAGATCCCAGCAATGGCTCATTCCGACCTGACCGCCCTCTACAAAGAAATCACAGGCTTTCAGACACAGTTTAATGACCAGAGCCAAGTCTGGCTAGTCCTTAATAAAGCGAAAGATTTTGAGGTGATGCAAGCGATGAGTAAAAAGATGCCAGATGTTAAGGAACTTGACGTTCAAGGTATTTCGGAAGAGAAGAATGAACAAGTGCAGAGCTTCTTAGAGCTCTACTTCCCAAACACAGTGGGATCATTTGAGTTCCACTACGGTTCTCCTCTCACCTCTATCACCCCTTTCATGGAAGGAATGGAAGTAGCTAGCAAGAAGGTTACTACCAAAATGAGGATTTACAATTTTGAAATTGGAGAGCAGGAATTATTCGACCTCTTCATTTGGAATAAATCAAAAGACTGGATAGGCCTAAGAGAATGTACACTTTCTTTATCTGAAATCCCCAATTTTAAATCTTCACTTAAAGGAAGTACTTTACGAATCCTTGATTTAAGCGAATGAGGGTCGAGTAGTCATGGAGATTGGAGCAAAAATCCCCAAGAATTTGAGAATCTTGTTGAAGGTCTAGCTATTTCTGAAGATTTTAAGGCTAACTTACAAGAGCTTTGGATGACTAACTGTGGTTTTTCTGAGACACAAATATACCAGGTGCTAAAGAAGCACGGCTTACAGCATGTTAATATTTACGGAGCCAGATAAACCTAGGCTGGACTGTTTGAATAAAACTTTTGGGATTTGGGATTTTAGAAGAATAATTGGTGAATTAGAGGTAGAAGCGAAGTTATGGATGGTGGTAATTCAATGGGGTTTTTAGAGCTTGGTTGGGAAGGGGTGGGTTAGTACTTTAATAAAATGGGAAATCCACTATCATGTTTTTGCAAAAATTATGGTCCTGACAATAATGAGATGGTCTGAGTAGCCAAGAATAAAAGCCTCCAAGATGAAGAATACCAGAATGCTTACCTAAAAATTGACAAAGCTGGTAGCAACCTTAGAGATCAAAGAATGCAAAATGCCCAGACTCATCATAAAATAGCAAGTAATGCTAAAGGTAAGTATCTGTGCTTGCCAACATTTGATTCAAGATGTGCCAATCTTATTTTTGACACATTAATATATGGGTATTTAACTTTAGACTCTCTCAATTTTTAATATGAAATTACTAGATTTAGGGAAGAAAAGCTGACTGCTTAAATATGTTTGGTAATAGTTTAACCAAGCAACATAATCTGTTAATATTTCAATTATAGAAAGAGAACAAAGAATATTACAGGCTAAGCAAGCTATAGGAACAATGAGAGAAAGGTTGAACCCAAGAAGAGAGGATGCCTGGAAATTTGGAAGCATGTCTATAGAGGAGACAAAGTCAGATTTTAATGGGAGATGGAAAGAAGAGTCTAAGCAAGAGGAGACTAAGCAAGCTGAAAGAAGGGGTAAGAAGGATGTAGGGAATGGATTAAGAAATAAGCCAAGACAGGAGCCAAATAAAGTTCACACGGGGGATCAAGATAAACAGGCAAAGGTTAGTTTTCTTATTTATTTGTAATTCTCAAGATTATGTGTTTGAAATTTAATTTATGCAGATTATTATATTTGGCATTATTAATACTAAATTCGTCAGCTTCAGAGATCATTAGGCAACATTTTCTCTTTGATTCCTTATGAGCAATTTATTATTAAAAATACAAGACAGAAGATTTTTAATTTTGCTTAAATTTTTCCTAGCAATAAAAAAATGAATCTAATCAGGTTTTGATTATTTACATTCATATTATTTTGCGAATATATAAGCTTATTTCCTAACAATAGAGTCTAATTACTGTTTCAGGAAAACATTGCAGACTATGACTATCTTAGTATGATTTGAAAAGAAGTCACAGGTCAATCCCAAAAATATACCTCAAAGTCAAAGTTTGTAATAGATCTATCAGTTGGCTATCACTTAGAATTTTTATTTCAAATCAGAAAAAGAATGCCTGATTTAGATAAATTCATTATCAAGAACATCCCTAGCGATAGGAAAGGAGACGTTAAAGTCTTCTTGCAAAACTACTTTCCTCAAAGTCTAAACACCTTTTGCTTCAACATAGGAGCTGATAAATATGCTATTGGATTGTACATGAATGAATTGAAGATGTGATGCCAAAGAGTCCTAAAGGAAATCCGCATCCATGATTTTGACATTCGTCAGAAAAACTTCGTTTCTCTTCTTTCATTATGTAAGACCAAGGATAGTCTTATATTTATAAACTGAACCATATATCTTTCTTCAGTCCCAAAACTTGAGAAGATACTCATTGGAAGCACTCTGAGGAAGCTAGGTTTGGCTAGATGAGGCTGTAGCACTAATGAGAATCGAGGAACGTTCAGGAGTCACTTCCAAAACCTAATGTCTGCGCTTTCCAAATGCAACGACTTTAAAAGAAGCTTTGAAGAGCTTTACATACCTGGATGAGGAGTTAAATCAGATGTTATTTCACAGATTTTAAAGGACAACGGATTTGCCACGGTCGAACTTTGAATCAGCTAAAATTATGATCTACTTACATTTGATTGGCCAATATAATTCTCTTAAACTGGGGTTTTGGGGTTTTGGGGTTTTGGGGA